TTCGGATTTATTTCGCCTTTGAGAGCATTTCGGTTTCGCCTTTCGGATTTTGAAAATGGATTTCGCCCGAAACACTAATTACCGTACCGTATTACTTTACTTGCTACCTGTAGGTACAGTTTGTAAAATAAAAAATTCGTCAAACCCATTACTTTTCCTACTAACTTAACATTAAGAAAAGACAATACTAGAGCTTATCCTAACCCTAACCATTAAAAAAGGTTACTTACAAAAATTGAAACATGCAAGTCTATCATAACGTACGTACATACGTACGATCAAAATTTGGTGTAATTTTCGTATGTCCGTTCCGTCTGAGCCTGTACTTCACATAGGCAGAAGCTTGTCTGATTGGTTAATTTTTGTATATCTACCTGTGATTATTAATCAATCAAATTTATAGCTTTATTACAATATTGACATTAACTATTAACGAAAAACTACAAAATATATATATTCGAGAAATACAGTAAGATAAACATATAAAGAAAATATAATAAAACGATTATTACTTTTAACAAGCTTAAACACTCTATATTTTCACTATATATAAACCAAAACGCTTTAACTGTTAACAAATCTTAATATGCTTCAAGAACTGATCTAACTTAAAGTCTATCCTATACATTATAGTAGACCTCATTATTAACAACCTTGTTTTGTCTAAGAACCCAACTTAAGATCTTTTAATCTTAAAAAAAGAAAAATAGTTATTTCCGTTAGAAACTGTTTCTTTTTAGCAGTTTAAATCCGTTAGAAACTGTTTCTATTTAACAGTTTAAAATTTAGAAAGGCTTATTTTTCTTTACCTAGTTCAAAAAGTCGGTATTAAATTAACATCTCTTAAATTAGAGATTATTAGAGATTATTTTTGAAGTTAGCTTTCTAGCACCTCTTCGAAGCTAGAAACGATATTTGTTAAGGGTAGTTACTTGTGTAATATTACGTTCTTAAAAAGTACTCTAAACTATATAAATAAGTTAACCGAGCAATTGATTTGCATTAGCCAATCAGACGAATTTCTGCCTATGAGTACAGTACTACTTTACACTAAATACCATCCGAGGGTATCATAATGACCAATAAGTATGGTATAATTTATTCTATATATCTATACCATACCTGATACTGATCAGGCCACCTATACGTACCATACAGATACGTATTTGTTTTATTGGAGGTAATATGGCACATTATATACCATTTAAATTGCTATTCGATACGCCTTGCGGTTGATCAAGCGAAATCTTGCACTATAGATCGATTTATATACATCATCTCATGATTTTTTATTGCATGATTTTTTCTAATAATTACAACTTATAAATTATAAATTTTGATTTTTTTTTTTCTAAAAAAATTTTAATCAATCACATCGACCTTTAACATTTTAATTCCACCTTATATTCTTATTGATATTACACATAATGAAATCTAGTAACTTATTTATTTCGGTCTTTCTCTTTTTTTCCGTTGTTGTTTTGGTTCATTCTTTATATGTTCCTCGTGCCATTCCATCCAGCTGTGATAAACGCACTATTAACTGCAGTATATTATGCAAATTGCCTGGTTCTATTCCAGAAAATTGTGCCTTACAAGATACCTGTACTATTTCTACTTCCATAGTATCTAGTGACAGTGCTTCATGCGTATTTAAAAATGTCACTGGTCAATCTAATTGTGTTTCAGGAATCGTAGCTAGTAATTGTAATTATATTTCTTGTTCTGAAGATCTCAATTGTGGCCTTAATGATTGTGAATGTTCTGGTGAGCCGTATGGAACTATAACTTGTACTTATAAATAATGAAGTACATTTTTTAGGTTCTTACTCGTGGTTTATAAAAATTGCAAAGTTTTTTTTTTCATAAATCTACATTTTACCTTATATACCATAAAATATGACATTGTTTTCAAAATTTTCGTTATTTGATCAAAGGTTTATTTGGAATAATCTATTTATAAATATTTGTTATTCGATCAAAGTATTGTTTGGAATAATCTATTTTCCTTGTTTAGAAACTTAAAATAGTCAATGAAAATGAAATTTATTGTTTAAACATAGTTTTGCTGTTCATAATTAGAAATACACTATTAAATGTTTAAATAAAATACTTTAAGAGAATATTTGAAATTATACCACAATGCAAAAAAGATAAAATTGATTTAAAGGATTCTTATCTAAAGAATAAATCAACAAACAAAATAAGAGTGATGCACGTCACTCTGATTATAACGACATCTGGCTATAATATCAATTTCAACAATATAAAAATGGCTTTGGTTGAAATAACATCTGAATATACGGACAATTTGTTAATTTAGGGAGCGTCGATATAACCAGAGTGACGTCATTAAATTTATAATATAATGGAAGGATTATAATAAAATTTTTATATTTTATATTAAATATAAAATTTTTGATAATAAATAAGAAAATATTATCATAGTTGTGCATTTCTGAGCACAAATTACTTAAACATATATTTTATATAATTTAACTAGGTACTTGATTTGCTTAAAGGGAGTTAGAGATGAGTATACTATATCTGATATTGTATTATGCAGTGCAAGGACTTCATATTGTGATTAGGCTCCTTGGCTGTGATAGCAGCACAAGGACCTCATGTGTATAGTTACCGTCCAAACCTAATTTGTTTGGGACTTTGAGACTGTCTAGGGTATTACCCACTATTTGAGACTAGTTAAAGCAGTGGAACTTGTCCCAAACTTACTGTGTGAATTGGGATTTGGGACAAAATTTCAGATATATCCAATTTGACCAATAGTTATAATTATATGGACGGCAACTATACTAATGTGATTAAGCTCTATTGTTGCCGCAGGCAATGCAAGAACCTCATGTTTGGTGATTGAGCTCCCCTATAAAAAAAAGTTCAAATTTTTATTAGGAAAATACTCATTATTAAAATAATAATCTGAACAAAATCCGAATAATTTTAACTTTTTTTTATAGGATTCACATCTATAATAGCAGTACAAGGGTCTCACATCGCGATTAGGCTCTGTGGCTGCGGTAGCAATGCAAGGACCTCATAGTGTGATTAGGCTCTATGGCTGCTAGGGCTGCTAGGAATAGGTTCGGTGCAAACGGCTACAATTATTCATAGTCAATTTTCTAAAATATTGAGTATTTTTTTAAGCTTTTAATTGAAATTGTTCAGAATTAAATTCTGTTCATCCCATCTCATAAGTGGAAAGAACGAAACTTTCTCCGGAACTAAGAATTTTAAAATTTGTTAACATCATAGGGTAAATTTACTACTTACGCAAATATTTTTACTATTACAGAAAAATACAGAAGAATTTCATGCTCACGTGATTTTAAATAAGAAGTTTAACGTCTAATCTTAAATTTTATTGGAAACGATCTATGACATGCGGGCAAAGAGGGAGTTAAATAAAGCTTATCATTCCCGCTTAGTTTCGTAATTATCGATGCAATTAAACTAAAGAATGTAATCGTCTGAATATCTTTAAGGGTATCCCGAACATTATAATTTATATGATTATAAATTATTAACAGAATAACAACAATAACAACAATTGCTAGGAAATTTATAGTGTTTTTTTATCATTACGCAAGCATCATTAAAATACAGTTTAGCGTAAGTATGTAATCACTCTGCATCTTATTGTCAAATTATTGGATCCTTTTTTTATTTAACTTTAAAAGATAGTTTTGTAGTAAGTACATATGTAAGTTCATGTGAATTCATTGAATTTGTAGAATTTACAATTAAATAAATGGTTAGCTGTTTATTGATTAAATCGGTAGAATTTGTGGCGTAGCTTATTGTTGACTCGAAAAATATCGGTAGTGCTATAATTATGTGCGGAAAATAACGGAAAAAAATTGCTCAAAATGAGTAATTTTAAACCCGTGTATATGTACGTATAGTATAGCATAGCAGGAATGGTAAATGACTTGAAATGACCTGATGACTCAAATGACAAATGACTAGTCATTGGTCATTTTGAATTTCTAAATGACTGAGAAGGTCATTTAACATACGTTAATTGGTGTTCTAACACTTTTTAATCAATAAAATTGGTTACAGGATAAATGAAAATTTTATGATAAAACATTATTAATAATCGTTACTTTTAAAAGTCAAAATTTATTAAGCTAGTCAATATTTATGCCTTAAGTAAAGCTTCAAAATAACAAATTGCATATACTCCAAATGTTTTATGTAATTTGAATACCTTTTTATTAATTCACATTCACATTTATGGAAGATTAAGAATTTTTTTATTTAAATGTGAAAATGCGGAGGTGAATAAAGAGTTAGAATTTTATATTTTAGCGCCTATGCGTTGTGACGCACCCCATAAGATCTGGTGTAACGTGAAAGCAATTCGTTAGTTTAGCGTTAGGGGTGAGGTTTAGGTTAGGGTTAGAGTAGTGCGTTTTAACAAAAGAATTCTAACCCAAAATTTTGAGAGGAATTTTTTTTGTTAGGATACGAAAGGTAGTTGCATAGTCAAAATTTTGAGCTATAAGCGATTTTTTAGAAACACCGCTATTTTTTTCAATTTTACGTTACACCTGATCTTACGATCTGATTGGTTGATCAGATGGGTGCGTTACAGCGCAGGTGCGCTAAATTATATAACCTTTTTAACCAATCATATTATTAAATAGGGTGAGTCAATTATTTGACTTAAAGAATATAGTAAAGAATTGACTAACTTTGATGGAAGATTTTCAGCCCTCTGCTTAAAATTAAGAACTAAAACTTTAAACAAGAGAGTATTAAATGCTAAAGAATATATATTTAAAATTTAAAGAAAGATTTATATATATGTTTTTAAATAAATTTAATTTAAATGATTTTTTTGCATAAATTTACATATAAAATTAGGTGAGTCAACTCATTTGATTTATAAATAACAATACTTAGTTGAACATGTTCTATGATTGCTACTCTGAACACTTTATTAAAATCTCAATTCAAAAAGCAGATAATCTTCCTATAAAAGCATATATATACCTCCCACTAGAAAAGATACCTCTTTCAAATCATGTTCTTCTTCCTTTTAAAGATCTATCTACATTTCAAAATATTCTACTCAAATCTGACTATCCAATACTCAATAATATATCTTCTCTACAAACTTGTGAACACAGTCTTCTTCCTAATCATTTTTCTAATATATTCTCAAATAATATATTACTCACTACTATCCCTCTCTTCAATCTGAATACCTCTCTATTCCTATTAAAATTGCTTCCTTTAATATTAATGGCTTTTGTCAACCAGCAAAGAAACTTTTCCTATTTGATATATTAAATAACAACTTTTATGATATCTTAGATCTTTTCGGAACACACCTCTCTACTAAAGAAGAAAAATTTCTTAATAACCAAACCCCAAATTATAACAGTTTCTGGAGCTCATATGAACAACCACACCAGGCTGATGTAGGAATCTTTATTTATCATCAAATAGCCAAACATGTTGCATATACATATAACTATAAAGGCTATATCATTGGCTAGTGCTCGGCCCAATCAAACAAAAATTTGACAGTCAAATACTTGTTAATACTTGTGATTAAGTCGGACATCAAATGATTACAGATTAACCAATAGTATATATTTAGCTTTGGTTAATCTGCAATCGTTTGACATCTAATTTAAATATAAGTATTAACAAGTATTTGACTGTCAAATTTTTGTTTGATTGTGCCAAGCACTATCATTGGCTTTGATCTCCATTTTAAAAACTTATTAATTCGGCTATTACAAATTTATATTCCTACTTTTGAGAAAAAACAACTCTGTAAAGAAGTCCAAGAACAAATTATTTTGCTCTTACAAAACCCAAACTACAAAATCATAATCATGGGTGATCTTAACGGTGTTTCTAACCCAAGAATAGATCGCTCTTCTCCCAGAAAAACATCTATACCTGAACTTCAACTTATTAAATACCTACAGAGTCATTAATTTAAAGATATCTATCTTTTTTTTTTTCCAATTCCCCAAACTTTACTTTCTAACACATCAACATTTAGAGTAGAATTGACCAAATCTAGACAAACCTCTCAATCACTAATATTGAATAAACAGATATAATCTCAAATATTCAAATAGAATCTGACCATCACATTATAACCCTCAAAATATCAATCATTTTAAACAAACCCAAACCTTAAAAACTGGAAAAAAGAAAACTCTTCTTATGAAAAAACTGCTTCAAACAAACTTTGAAAAACTATGCACTGCAAACAACCTGCAATTTTCAACATATCTCTTCTTAAATTACTTCAATATCTAATCAAAACCAACTTAATCTTTGCTAGAACAAAATTCATAAAGCTTTATCCAAAGCAGCTATAAAACAAATCTCTTACAAAAAAATCAATACTGTTAAAGAACTTAAAGACAAATCTTCTACCAAAAAATCTTTACTCTCTTACCAATACAAACAAATACAATATCTTAAAAACCACTATTACTCCTCCAATTTCAATTCTCTTTTCCATAACTATTGATTACAATATTCTGAAAACTCTCTCCCTACAAATAACCCTTTAGTTATACAAATCAAAAATGAGTTCCAAACCATCAAAACTATACTTAACCATCAATATCAATAAGAACTTTACTCTGAAATTAAACAAAAAATAAAAAATCATAACAAAACCTTTCTTGAAACTCCTAAAATCTTCTATAAAAACATATTTTAAAAACATAATAATATCAATATTGATTATCTCCTTCTAAACAACTCACTACTAACTGAATATAATTAAATTCTTAATGCAATCTATAAC